TGTTGACCCCCACTCCCCGCCAACCCAGACTGACATTTTGGACGCAGACAGTGGTTTAAACATTTTATAATATACTTTTAAATGAATATATAGTAGTTATTTAATCTTTTTTTTGATAGCCACTTTTTTAAGCCAGTCATTTCAAATCGGGCATGAGCGGTTACCTTCGATTATTTTGAACAAGTAAATAAAATATCAAGCAGTGACTAGTTAAGAAGAAGAGGGGAACAATGTGGTGAAATGTCTCATCATCAATAAAATGAAAGAATAACTCACAAAGATTGAAAAAGGGATTATGTTAAATCAGTAAGAGGGGCGCTCATTTTCACTTGGTTATAAAACAATATAGGAATATAGGGGTCTCCGTATCAAAGTGGTCAAGCCGTTAACCTCGCGCTCGGAAGATTGTTGTACGTTCATTTACAACTGCATTGTTCGACTCGAAAATGCATTTTTTTGGTTAGCGGAGACCTCTGAGGGCTGTTGCTGGAGCTACGGTATCCAGGCTTTGTGCTAAGCTCTCGGCATGCGTTATTTGTTCAGTATTGTGGAGAAAGACAAAGCCATATAAAATCAGTAACAATGCAATGAAGTCAATCCACTCGCTATTAAATATTAATATTTTTTAAACAGTGGAATAAAGCAAATTTCGGTCAGATGTATGCACACAAACATACACACACACACAAATAAGAGTGCGAGAAAAAGCATTTTTCAACAAATAGAAAAAGATGCATCATAACAGGAAGAATAGATATAAAAGTATATATATATATATATTACAGTATACATCTTGCAAGACTCACTGGATAATTAATAATAATTAATTCATAAGGTATTTAATGAATACTGATAAATTTACTCATTTTTATGTTATTTAGGTTTGCATCACATCATATTTTTAAAAAGGCAACAACTTTAGTTAGAGCTTGCTGTCCTGAAAGCAATGACATATGGTTGCTAAGGGGTTCAGCAAAAAACTTGAGAGTTATTGACATTAAACATGATAAATTTAGGTCCAGTTTTCACTTGGGAACACGCCGCCATCTTGTTTCTGTGTTTTCCATTATAATTTTTTGAGGGCACTTTCCGTCACTGAAATGGGAATATCTCCGCTTAGAATTGACATACAGACTTCATTGAGGTACCGTTGAACTCAGTTTTTCAACCTCTATTCAGCTGTCTTGGTTTAAAAGTAAAAAACCTAAAATAAAAATTTTGACTAAAATCCCTAGACTACTTACTACACTAGAACAGTGTAGAACAGATGCAATACGACAATAACACAAGCTACGAAACTAGCAAAAGACAGGAAACTACATCTATCTAACTCTGCGTCTATACGACATTTTCCACCAGTGTTTACTAACGTAGGGAACACGTCCCACTGGAGGGGGGTTGTTCTTACAGGGGGGATTCGAAAATGGACTCATTCAAAGTTTAAGTTAAATAAGGGGGAGGAACAGACAAATTTTAGACAGAGTTCTGCTGGGCAAGGCCGTCTCCAGTATACGGTATACTGGAGACGGTCATGAGTGGGGCATAGCGCACAGGGTTGAGAAACACTGCGTTGCACTTTACGACATAAACATAAGGGTTAAAAAGAAGAGGCTGTTTATTTACAAGCTCAAACCGGAAGTTGCGCAAAGGGACTACATTTTCAGGCTGTTGGTCAAGTAAATTGATTGTTGGTGCGGACAGAAACTGTCATATCGCTGTCACTTAGTGTTTGTTTTCAGTCAGCTAATTATAGAAGAACAGGTCAGAATATACGTTACTGGAATGAATACTTAATTAGTATAGTTTGTGATTACAAGTAAGTCTTAGTGATTATAGGCAGCCTGTCATGTACAATGTAACAATGTACTGTACCTGACTGCCATCATCTCATCATTCGGTTAGTCCGCAAGGTGACCAAAATGAAGTGATGTGAAACTAGTACTATGTAAGCTATGTTCTCTAGAATCGCGAATTGCGGCTCACGTAATTGTCATTGATTCTCATTTAACATCGCATATGACAGTATACGCCTAGGGTAGCTAATTACTATATATTTTCCTAAAATATATTTTTCAAAAATTATGCTACCAGATCTAGCCCTATATGCCCTACTATACGCCTAAAGGCGTGGAAAGGGTCCTTTACTTTTTTTTATGCTGCCAGATGTATAATACTACTATACTATATGTACAATGTATAACAAAAGAAGACTTAGGTAAATCAAAATCAAATCAGCAGACTCAGAGCAGGAGAAAGAATTTAGTTAAAATAGAATCGAGAATAACAATTAGCACAGTTACAATAGTACCTTACTACTAATACACTAGTACAGTTACAATAGTACTACTAATACACTAGTATATTACTTTATTGTATTTATTTATTAGTAATTAATTACAATTGAAAATAAATTTTAATTGAAAAGAATTTCAGGTTTAGACATGTTCAGCTCTCCCAGTTATTGTTATATATATATATATATATATATATATATATATATATATATATATATATATATATATATATATATATATATATATATATATATATATATATATATCACAGCGAACAACCAAAAGTTGAATGAAAACAAAGGTTTTGGAGACATTAAAAAGAAGAATTAACTAATAAAAAAAAATGCTGAAAAGAATAATGTAAGGAAGTGAGTAAGAGGTAGACGGCGATAAAGATGAAATAGTAACATCAAGTGATTGATGAGCAGCAGTCTTAAAGAATGTACAGCCAGGAGAGAGAGAGAGAGATCAGTTGCAGCTAACCTTCATTTTGAAGATGGCACCTGGATTATTGAATGTAGATTTTTTTGTGCGTCATCTCTCTCACAGTTGTAATATAATATATTGTTATTATGTGAATTATCCTAATTTTAATTAGAGAGGATAATACTGGTATAAATGAAACCATACATTTTTTCTGATGACTTTGGCTGCCAGGTTGACCCAGCTTTGAGTGGGTAGCAGGTAAAAGCCACGTGAAGTAAAGGTAGCCAACATGATGTTGGCAACATCAGCCACCAAGTGCAGATTAGCTGATAAAATATAGGTCTAGCCCTGTATGCCCAATATGCCTGATGGCGCGGAAGAGGGACCTTTACTTTTTTTTTTTTAAATTGAGTCTTAAGATGTTTGTGAACTCTAAGGTCTACTGTAATCCTGCAGTTGTGCGTGGAACCTAAAAAAAAATGCGTGGAACCTAGAAAAAAAATCGGGCAAATCAAACATCAGCTTGAATATTGCATTCTGTGGGTATAATGTGGTGGCTTTAGCTCAGTGGAAAGGCATGATCACTTCACATGTGTAAGTGTTAGCACATAATGATTACAGTTGAGTGGTTATCATATGACATATTCCTCCTTATTGCTTCACTGTTGAGATAATGCGTGCACAGCTTGCATCAGAGTACAGGTAACTGGTAGCTTTCACACATGAGTTTGAAAAAAAAAATTAGTGACATAAGTGTGTACGAGCATTTTGTGTGTGCTATAGCTATATTAATACTCTTAACAGGCGTTAGCTGCTCTGTGAGAGGTAAACATGATGGCATGTTTTCAAAATGGTGAATAGCAACACTGTTTTTTTTTCGCTGCTTGTGATGTCTCACAGATTCCTTATCATGGACTGCTATTTAGTGTGCATTTCCAACGCATACTTCTCTGTCTTCAAAGAGAGCAGCGTGTATGATAGTTGTGCTATGTTGGGGCTTGAAAATGACCAATAGTTTTGGCAGCCTTGACAAGCTGCCTTTGCAGTGTTTTAATAGCGGCAGCCCACTATCCGGGAAGACTGAATCTCTTCAGCAGACTGCACTGTCTAGAGGGCAGACTCGATGAAAGCTGTCCATAGAAACAAAATGTGTCAAAAATTAAAAAAAAAAAACACACTTTTGTGTGATTTGTAGGAGGGACTCACATATTTCAATTCATTGGAGAAAGAGACTCAAATGGTTCAGACACCTGGTAAGAATGAATCCAAAAATGCTGGCAGCGTGAGCATACACGATGAGAATGGAAAAACCAAGAGGCAGAGAAAGAGAGAGAGAGAGACCTAGAAGAAGATTGATTGAATGAGTTGAGTTGAGTCAAGAATTTACATCACAGCACTTGGGGTATTCCCATGCATGCTCCGTCCTCATCTTCAGCAGCCAGCGCAGAGTTCAACTGATGGTACCAGTCACTGATGGATTGAATGAGTCACCTGATAGCTAAAGACTTTACAGTGCCTCAGAACCAAGGACAGTCTAGCTTAGCTGGCTATCGCCAGTTTAATTGTGATAACTGGCTGCACAATGCAGAAATTGACAAGAGAAATAGAAGAATAAAACACTTGGCTCATGTTATGTCATTTCCTGCCAGTGCTGGCAGGAACACTTGCCTGCAGGCCTGAATGTCTTGAGTTGTCAAATTTGTTATCAAAAGTAATTGACATTGGCTCCTCGGTTGATCTAGCTTAACATGGGTAAAACAAAATGTCATGGAAAGTAAAGGTGGCTGACTTGATGTTGACCACCAGTGGGTGCAGATTTGTAATGCTAGGACTTTTTTTTTTTTGCTGGATCAAATATAAAAAGGTTCTGGTGCCTACCACACAGTGACTGATACAGTAGGCTGAAAAAATGAGGCCGAAAGAAGGTTGCAGTATGACACTGTTGCATATCATTGGGAAAAAAGCCCTGGGTCCAGCACTTTATACACCCGGTGTGCCTAATGGTGTCACATACTCTTAGGGAAATAATGTGGTGGATTTCCATTGACTTCTGTGTACACATTGTCTGTAACTTCTGATTTTAACAGCTATTTCCACCTGTCATGATAATCTTGTGCACTGCTCTGCTGACATTCACGGTTTTGTGAAGCTGGGCTTTTTTAGGGGTACTGGCGCCCTTTCTGCTTTCATTTTTCAGCACTACTATAATAGGCACTTGTATGACATATGTATGTATGTAATTTATACATATATAATTAATTCATATTCCCTCCATCAGAGTGCCAGCGACATAATGGAAAATGTGAAGATTGTGTGGGCAATGCTAAGGTAAATATTTCTTTACTATTAGGAAGTTTTTTTACTTTACTTGAAGGGTACTGTAGCTGTGTATGCCTGGTGTGTACATTGTTAATATGTTGATGAACTTTATTTGCACTCCACTTTAGTAGTCTGAATGCTCATATATCTTTTTCTTATAGTCCACGCAGCCCCACATTGATCATCATATCTGTCTACCGCCTTGTGTGTGAAATTACTGCCATTCATTTTTAATGAATTATTATGTTTAGACAAGATGATGACTTTGGCTAAATACAACCAAAAGGTTGCAGTTTCATTCTTTGAGGGCAGTGCACCTTAGGGATAAGTTATAAGAGAAAATATTGGCACAAAACCAATTCTAAAATACACAGACAGCAAATCAGAGGGTTTGCCTGCTTGGGGAGTATGCCCTGTATGCCTTACCATACTAGGCATTCACCAGAAAAGAAGAGTCTAAAGTAGACCAAGAACATAATGGAAAGATAACATCAGAGAAGCTCTACAAATCTTCTTTGACACCTACAGAAGACCATGTCTAGACTATATTAACAGACAAAGTATGAAATGGTTCTGTCATCCAGTAAGAATGCATCCAGACGAAACTGTAAATGAGACTTTTTACAGCAGAGCCTCTGGGAGAAAGGTGAAGGGAAGACCAAAAAAGAGATGGTGTAGCTGAATCCTGCAAAAAGATGAAAACGATTCATCACCTAAACCAGCTGAGAAGCACAAGACAAATACAGAAAACCAGGACCCTGGGCTTCAGGTTGGAATCAGCAAGGCAAAAAAAAGAAGAAGATGACCCTGTTGTTATTTATGTATGAGACACACTCAGTCACTTACTCTTTACATACACACATGTTAATCCATTAACCCCTCCTCCCATAATTTTCCCCACTTTTACATTTTTTCTACACACAATTTTTACCCAAAAATATATAGTTAGTTAAGCTTTGGATTATATATTAAAAATGTAATGATTAACATGCTCATGCTGAAGATTGTTAGTTGGTAGATTATTTTCACAAAATCATTCATTCCTCAGTAAACCCTTTACCGTCCAGGGCTACTGTCAAATCTTGGCAGTGGATTGTGTAACTTGGCAGAAATATATTGTCTTAAAAATATTACAATAAATATGATGTCATCATGCTTTTGTTACAGCTGTGCACATTTAAGTATGTCATGATTTTGTCGTCATTTACACGTTTTTTTATGTGTTGGTTGCCCAGTGCTTGTACTGTTACTCTGATAACAAGTGCTTGCTGTATCCCATTGGGAAAATTTTGCCACCGTCAGATGTTTGTGCGCTGGACAAGGCCCGATGGGGGGTTTGTTGGGGTGAGTATATTAAGTGCATAGAGTATATTGACATATGTATGGAGTTTATAATAGCACAGGATTCTGTCTTCATATCTACCAATATAATTAATTGTTCCAGCCTTCTCTCGGATGTTGGCACAGGTAACATTTCTTGTTTAACTTTCTACTGCATACAGCACACATTTTAAATTGTCATACAGAATTTCTGTTCTTCTTATTTTTCTGCTTTCCCCCTTAAAAGGGTGGCTGGCACATTGTGTTGTGGTTGACATCTAGGCTGCAGTATCTACACCTTTTGGTCCAACTAATCCGAATTCAGCAAACCCTTAGTCGTCTTGTAATTGTAATAATGTGTTTTTTATAAGAGAAGTGCCTTCAAGAGAAGTGCCTTCACCCCCCCCCCCCCCCCCCCCCCCCACCTAAAATGAGGTCCTAGAATCCAGAATATATTTTGTGACTTATTTGTAAAATATTCCCTGTGTGGCATGTAGGGTCACATTATGCTGGTTTGAAAGGGGGGGGGGACAAAGAAGAGACCCACTGTTCCCTCACCCCGCCCCGTCAAGCATATTGTAAAAGTTGACTAATTATGAGCATTTCCCTCAAAGTTGTCGTGTGTCTGCATGCAAATGATGCAGAGACTTAAGTTCTGGAACAAGGTTAAAATACAGAATTGATTGAACGAACACACTTCCCACCTAAATGTATGGTGAGCGGGAAGAGAAGAGGGAAAAGATTTGTTAAGAGAATATTTTAACGGTCGTAGAACATTTTTGTAAAGTTTTTCTTACAACTCATTTGTTGCCTTTATTTTAACAGTAAATTTTGAGGCTTTGATCATCTCAGTGAGCGTCATTGGTGGTGTTATCATCATCACGGCTGCCTGCTGCTGCTACTGCTGCTGTTGCCGTTCCAACAATAAAGCAAAGTAAGTGTGATAGCTGGAGTTGATGCTTTCACGATACATAACCTGAGCTGAAGAATTCTGTTTATTTGTAAAAATTAGAAGTGCTAAAAGTAAAAGAAAAAGTAAAGATCCCTTTTCACGCATTGGGCATATGGGAAAAGCACCCCATACTTTTACAGACAAATTGGCACTAGAAATAGAAGAAGACAACATGAGAATATTCTTGACAGCCTTTGCTCATGTCATGTGGGGGTGTAGCACATGCACTAATACATGCTGATGAAGATTTTAGATTATGGAAAGGTGTGATCGCCCATGTTAGTCGGCAAGACACTTGATATTCGCTAAATATTAATGCTCCAATGGGAGATAAAAGACAAAAGAAGATGGTTAGTTAACTTACTTTTAATTAAACAATTGATTTCATAATTTATAACCAATTTCAGCGCACCTTCCTGAGGAGTAAGGAACCAGCAGTTTGCATTACAAATAAGCCTGATTTGTAGAACAGGTGTGCACAAAAAAATTCAAGTTCTTCAACAAAGCTCAAGTCCGCTCAAGTCTGTAAGAGTTTGCAGCCAGGGAATAATAATAATAAGAAGAAGTTAACCTGTTTATTCTTCCATTTGCTAATAGTAAAACGTTTTCCAGGTTTGATAGAGAAGACGCCAAGTTTGAATCCCAGAAGATGGACAGAAAAGTGAAGCAAGATGAACGCAGGACAGAGAGGAAAAACCGTTTGGATGACATCAGAAGGAAATATGGTATGTTTTTTTTAGTGTTGCTCGTTATGAATCACAATATTTTATGGTTTTTCATATTGTTTTTGTGTGTGTGTGGAATATTAGAAATAGTCATATAGACCTGAAATATACTATTATTAATTGATTAGATATTATTAGCTAAAATATATTTTCTCACAAGGCATCTTCTCTGTAGTGATATATGGATGTGAGTCATGGACTATCTCCCAATCCTTAAAGAAGAAAATCGGCGGTTTTGAGCTGAAATGTTATAGAAAGATTCTCAGAATACCATGGGCAAAGAAGAGGAGAAATACTGACGTTTTAAAAGATATAAATATCAAGGAAGAATCTAATAAACAGTATCTTGTCTCGGAAGCTGAAGTATTTTAGTCATATCAGGTGCCCAGGGGCATTGGAAAAAAGGAAAAAAACAGCAGAGGGCATGGTACGAGGAAGGAGGGGTAGGGGTCGACCAACATGATGATGGACACAGGGTGTAAGTGACTCCTTGAATATAAAAGTGCACGAGGCGGGAGAGCTGAGAGAGGCTGAGTTTCTTTTAGGCAGACCGTGATGAGAGTGACGTTCTGCAAAGGACCTGCTACATAATGATGATGATAATACAGGATCTGACATTTTGTGTGTGGTTGTATGGGATGGGGTACAGCCTGGTGTCTAGCTACCACACTGCTACGGCTCCCCTAGAACACCCTCTTTATCACTAACAAGTTCTACTGGTATTTTTTAAATTTTTTATCTGTAAGTACAGTTGGCTTGCTAAGTTTAATTTTTATTTGTATTCTCCGCAGGCCTGATGAGGGAAGAGACCCCCTACCAGAAATTTGATTCGTAAAGAACTCAAGCCAGCTTCAATAACTATCTGATGTGTGTCTTCAGTGTTACAGTAAACAAGCAGGCAGCCCCTTTTTTATGATACTTTTTATTTTGGACTTTCAATGGAAAACAAGATCTGGTTTTCAGTTCTGATAAATTGTTCAGTTACACAGGAAAAAAATTCTGAATACATTTTGTTTCCAACAGGGTGCCTGAGTGTGCCTGTCATATTTTAATAATTCATAATACTTTATTCAGTCCTTAGCCACACAGGTCAGCAAGGTACACAAGTAGTACTCAGAATAGCCATTACACGTGCCTTAATTATAATTTCTTTGGAAAAGGGCAACTGAAATTTGCTCTGCTGAGTAAGCATTCGGTACGCAGCTCAAAAGTGTGTTAGACCTTCAAGAGCGACCTGGGTTGGTTCAAAAGTCTGTCAGTACTTGTTCTCCCCATCTCATTATTTTGTTTCTACAAAAAAAAATGTGAAGTGTTTTTTCATTGCTTATTGACAGGTCACATTAGCGTTCTATATTATGTGATTAATTTTGTATGTCAGCCTGTGAACTTCTCAGCCACTTTATTTAATTTTCTTTCTTTGAATACTGCACTTTCTCCGCATGTTCTTTACAGATGTTAATACTTATCACTAATATATTAATATCTATGATTTATGAAAACCTATCTCAAGTGTTTTTTAGAGGCCTCAGAGATGTGGTTTTACAGAAGAATGCTTAGAATACCTTGGACAGCCAAAAAGAGCAACCAAGAGGTTTTAAAAGAGGCGGGAACCCGAAGACAACTTATCACTGACATCAGAAGGAGGCAGTCATCATTTTTTGGCCGTGTTATGAGAAGAGGGAAAATAGAACATGTTGTTACCACTGGAAAGATCTGTGGAAAAAGGGATAGAGGAAGAAAACGAGAGAAGATGCTTGACAGTCTTGTTGCATGGAATGGAGGTGTGTCGGCACCCGGACTGATACATGCTGCAGGAGATCGTAGATTATGGAGAGTCATGATCGTCCACGCTAGTCGGCAAGACACCTGATGATGATGATGATCTCAAGTGTATTGTTTGCTGTATAGTTTAAAATCCTTACATGGACACACACGTACACACACTTGCATGCGTGCACGCACACATACACACAGATATTCCATGATAACTGAGAGAGATGGTTTTACAGAATCAAGCTAAAAACTTACTTTTCAGCCAAAATGAGTAGTCTTAATGTTTTCAAAGAGACTAAGGCACACAGACAACTTATCACAAATATTAGACAGAGGCAATAATTTCTTGTTCCCAACATTGTGAAGATGGAATACCAGAACATGTCTTGGCAGTTGGAAAGGTCTAAAAAGAGAGATAGAAGAAAAAAGACATCTATAGAAGTTCTTGAGAGCTGTTTGGCAGAGATATCCGCACATGAATTATTAGATTGATGTATAATATTGGAAATTGCCAGGTAAAGAAGAGGATCTCTTTTTCCAGTAAGCAATGCACTTGATTTTATATTGTCATTTTTACATATGTATGTTCGGTCCCTTTATTTTAACTTCAGTTAAATTTGTAGTCTTTCCTAAGGTGGCACATGGGGCACAGGTCCTAGCTGTGCATGTCTGGTGGTTCAGCTGTTTTAGGTCGTCGATGTTTATTAGGCCCATGGTTGAGCCTTCTCTGATAATGGTTCTACTCAAGGTTTCTCTTGGTCTTCCCCGTTGTCTTTTCCCTTCCTGTGTCTATATGAGGGCTTGATGGGGGAGTCTTGTCTTATCCATTATAAATGCATAATTCCAGTTAAAGTTGTTTGCGATATATTAAAACTGTAACATGTCATGTTTAAATCATCATTTTGTTATGTACAAATTTTTTTATCAGAGCTTTTGTATTTTTTTTGGGTACTTAAAAATGTTGTATTTGAAAGAGTTGGTTACAATTTGCATCAACAAAAGGCGCTATTTGGTAGTGGAGAAACAGAATGATTTATTAGGAAGAGGACAAGCTAATTGTTTTATCTTTGATTGCCTGTTTGATTTTATGACACAGTTATAGCTTATTTCAAATATTTACAGGCTTAAGCTCAACCATATATAAACTAAAGATGGAATTCTCCTTATGCCATAGAACCTGAGGTTACTTGGCACAGCTTTAGGTTTCCCTGTTGTAACAATTTTATACAATTTAATGTAGTTTCTCCAGAGAACAAGGTTAGAGATTTTTTTTCTGTCAGGAGAAAAATAAAACACTAACCTGCACAGTCCGTTGTGACAGCACTAGCCTTGCGCATTGAATCCTCAGGCTCAAAGACCCCCCATCCCGCCTATACAGCAAAAAATGGTAAATGCAGGCAGTAAAGGCCATCTCCGATTTATTCATGTCGGATTGCTTCTGAACAATTGTTTTTGTCACTGGTTGTCAGACCTTCAGAGTGTAGTCCCAGAAAGTAAATTTGAGGGGGAAAAATTGAACAGAACATAATCTTTTATCATCAAGGGCCTTTTCAGCTGGCACCACTTAGTGATGAATTGATGTATGACAAGCTAGATATTGTGAGGGCCCTCTGGGTGTGAGTGAACAGTGAGGAAGCACAAACAGATCATTACGGTCTGAGGAGAGTGGTGCTGCGAGGAGTTACCAGTGGATGTGGCCAAGGCTCAGCACTCAAGGGAAAGGCGAGACGTATATACAATCAGTTACTGGTACTATTGTAATTGGAGCTCTTCGCTTGCTGCTGAAGATGGAGGCGCGCTTATGGGAGTGTCATAAGTACTATGATGACGATTCTTAATTCAACATTAAGAATCTTTGAAAATGTAAATAACATTGATTTGATTAAAGGCTCTGAACAGTTATGTTTTTTGAGTTCACAATGGCTGTCCACAAAGGACTGGACTTTAAAATTGCCTTTAAAAAAACTTTCATCAAGTTAGTTAGACTTGTCTCCTTTGAAATAGTTCTCCCCTGTGTTGATATACAGTTCTCCCCTGTGTTGATATACAACTCCCAACAAGATTTCTGGTTTTTGAATTAGCCATGGAGATGATTTTCTTAGATAGCATGCACGATTTGCAGTGGTTATTTTCTAAAATTGTTGACTTGTAACGTGGATTTCAAGGAAGGCGGCTTTGGGTGAAAGTCTTATGCCTATCAATGACTTGTACTTTTACTGAAACGTCACCATTATTTAGCGTTTGGTATGCAGTTGTGTTGTCATTGTGCAGCATCTGTGCTTTGCTTGTCCATACATACTTACTAACACATCTGCAGTTCTTTCCGATAAACATATGTCAGTTTACTAATACTTCTTCTTCAAAGTGTTCACTGGCTGTAAACTGGCAGAAAGTTCTTGTTGTTCATCCACTCCTAGACTTTGGTCTTGACCCAGAACTTGAGTTTTGCATGCACATCCATTTTACAGATCTGCCTTATTTATA